TTATATCAAATGGCAGGCGTCTTGATGGTTATCATTAGCCCTTTATTTGACTTCAGACTTCACAGAGGGGAAGGAACATCAAACTGAAAAAAATTCGAGAGGGGGGGGGGGAAAGAAGAGTGTTCCAAAGATGTAAGAGACAAACACAAAGGTAGAAAAAAGGTGAGGTGAGTACTGTGGAAGTGGTCGAATATGACATACAGTGGGGTCATGGTTGTTTGAAGTCAGAAGTCAACTGCCAGTTAATAGACTTTTTTGCCGTATGAATATACATTGCCCAGGGCGCACTACGTGGAGGTAAGTCTATCGCACACCCCTTAAAATAACCATCAACTTATAATTCTTAGCTAAAAATATTTATTTAAATAATTTTACCGCTAAATATGGACTTAAAAGAGTATAAAACCACGAACTGCCACCTGCCTAATTTGCTACGAAATCTGCAAATTGATAGGCGGTTGCACTGTGCCTTAAATTTAGGACACAGGGTACATTCTAGAAAATCTCTACTTCAATTGAATTGACGTAGAGAACGCACGCAACCTCCCCTCCTGTTCGTAAATTTGGCCAGATTTGAACTAGCAACTTCGTGGTTGTAGAGGGAGTTTGGTAGTGTCAAGATTATTGGCTGACAATCAGGTTTCACGAGCATCCCGGTTGAAAGAAAGAAGTGCTGATCAGCTCAATAAATCAATTCCTTCTAGCCCTTCTTTGCATAGCTTTTGACGGTATTACCTCAATACGCTCTTTATCTTACAATACCAGATAAGTGACCTTGAATTTGTCACATCAGGCCTACAAACAAAATTTAAATCGAAGAAGAGCAAAAGACAAATATTTTTTTAAATTTTTAGGAAAATGCTGTAAATTGCGCAAAACCTTCCGATAGGATAAAAGAGAAATTAAAGAAAAATAGAGCGATTAGACAACGTTCGAGCGACATTATAGATACTGATTAATAAAATGACCAATGAATCTGATTCCAAAATCGCCTGATGAGGTGAAAATAGAGAAGAATAAAAGTTTAAATACCGTCAGGTAGGGAGTAGATAGTCACTGAGGCTAGAAAACCATTTTGCGGAAGCACCTACAAAAAAAGAAAACATGAATTACTGAATATTTATAAGTAGAGTGGATAAAATATCATAAAAAAGATTAACATCGGGAATTACGAAATACTTCAAAAGGTTTGGAAACTTGATTCGTGTTTGCTTATCCATTTATAAATTGGAAGCATACATCAGTATCTTTTAGTTCGTCAACAATTCTTAACCGATGGTTTGGGAGATTAAACGATAACAAATGCTCAATTCTACAATTTTTTTTCAATTTCGGACCATTTACTCAAAGAAAAACGCAAGGGAGCGCTTTCCAACACCCAATTAGTGCCAAAGGGATATACTCAGAAGCACTTCGCATTCCAATATCATTATTTTCAATATCAAATAAGCTTTTCAATATGTAGACACCACTAATAACTTGTTTATAGTTAGCGCATGTGAGAGAAAGGTGTACTTTTATTCACATGATCTCCCTCCATCCTCTCCTCCCCCCGCCATAACCTTCACGTGACCTGATTGGAGTTCTTGCGAGACGGTTGTAGGCAATCGACGATAGGCGGTTGACAGAATTGAAATTAAGGAAAACCCCCCTCTTGAAGTAGCCACACTTTGAACGAAGGAAAATAATGGAATCGTCCTATTGACTAGGTTAGTCGCGTATACGAAGATAGACTGAATTATCGCAATGCCAAAAATTCGATTAATTAACTTATTTGATTTAAAATAGTCTATTTACAAGATGACATTACTGTTATTCCAATAAATCGATCAATTTATATGTCTCCAAGCCCACCATATTAAGCATAATATAGTATAAGGCATTAAGGGGTGTGGGATAGACTTACCTCCACGTGGTGCATCCTGGGCGACGTTTTCCCATAAGGCAAAAAGATCAATTATTCGGGAGTTGACTTCCGACTTCAAACAACCATGACCCCACTCTATGTCATATTCGTCTACTATCCCAGTACTCACCTCACCTTTTTTCTACCTTTGTGGCTATCTCTTTTACATCTTTGAAACACTCTTCTGTTCCTCCCCCCTCTCGAATTTTTTTCACTTTGATATTTCTTCTCTGTGAGGCTTGAAGACCCTCTCTGAGAAGCCTGAAGTTAACTAAAGGGCTAATGATAACTATTTAATATAAATAAATAAAGCATTAACCTCGAGAGACAGTGAGGAAACACTTGCTAGCTCCCTAAATGAACCAATTAGAAGGTAGTACCACAAGTGGCTTCCACTCCTCTTGGTGCGCCTTTCTATCTGTCACACTCTTGTAGACCATTGTGTTCTTTTGCTCCACCTAAGACGCCACCTAGTAAATACTTAGTCCACATTTCCTGCAAAAAATTATTCGACCTGATCTGCAGGCCTAAAATCCTCATAAACTGGACTTGAATAGAAAGTGACGAGGACAGGCTTAAGACGAGACGGAAGGCGTCTTTGTGTGTGTCTTCCAGAAATCCAGATACACACTAATTCCCTAACCCTACCACCCCACTTTACCAAGCTTCAAATCCCACCTTCCAATTCATAACTGGGTGATTTACCGATTCCAGCTCCCACCAAGGTGAGATAGGAAAGATTGAATATAAGTGTTACTTTACAGTTTAACACTGTCATGTGATAACACAGACGCAGACTTTCAATTAGTGTTCAAAATCAATTAAACAAACCCTAGATTTGTGACATTACGAATGATCGTTTTCACCAAAAAAAGAAAACAACTAAATAAGCAATTTTAGTAAGATTGACTAACCTCGAAAATAAGATCGTGATAGTTGAAGGCGTTGGTTGTACCGAAGGGATTCTTCCTTGAGGGCGTCTCTCTGTGGATGACCACTCTCTCGTTCAACAAACCACTGAGTAGTGATTGCACCTTAAAGATTAAAAAGTAAACAAAAAAACAAGGCATTGTAACTATCAAACGCTATAGGCAGTTCAACAGTTCAAAACAATAATTATTAATTAGGAGTAAAGCAGACGATGGCATATCAAAGGCATTGGCGAGTACAGGGATATAGGACGCATAAAAAATGGAGCAGACATGGCACCTAAAATTCCCCCAATTTGTTACTTTACCTCCTAACCCCCCCTCTCCACCCTCCCCCCTCCATCTTGATGCGCGTCTCATAAATACCTGGGTTGGTGATAGGTAAAACAGTCAAGTCATGTGATATTCTTACGAAAGTAACGCGATTTCAAGGTCACTCCACTACCCCAAAAGCATTAGGTCTCCTCTGCTGATGATACTTTTAACATTTTAATAAAAAGCACTCCATGTCCTTTGGGGGACATTCAACAAGGCCATATGCCTCCCCCCCCCTCCCCAAGGAGTAACGCTCAATTATTTCGAAATGGAAGAAATAAATTAGTCATATAGGCAATTGACAATAGGTGGAAAGGGCAATAATTAAAGGCAAATTCGGAATGGAAAGAGAAATAAGTAGCGCAAAAAATGAGGGGGGGGGAGGGGAGCAAAGAATAAATACACAAATTAGCTCCAAGGTACTTACTTTAGTAAAAGGTGTGATGTTGACAACTTTCGCCTCATCATCAGATGTCAGTATTTTCAAGGGGATCTCGAACATGCATCGATAATACCTGAGGGAAAGAACAAGATGTTAGATTTTAAATCGGGTTCTCCGCTATGTGCTATGTTGATGATGCATTTGAATAACATTATGAAAATCCGAAGGAATACTACAGTGAGCAGGGTAATTGCTATTCCTAGAAAGTTCCGAACCCATCTCCATTCGTCAACGCGATAACGACGAGAATGAATGACTACAATTCACCAACAAAAACATGGAAGGGAGTGATTTGCATCATAATGATAGAATAGATAAGGGGATTACTAATCACTGCTCAATGGCTATATGAGCATTGCCTTAATCAAGCCACACGAAGAGCGGAGTTGCCATGACGACTCTGAGGCTGTGCTGTGACCAGAAGAAAGCGATGAAGTGGACGATCTAAGTTGATCGTGCTTGAACAGAAGATTCCCTCGAAAATCTGCTTATTACACCAAAGCTAAGTCAGTGTTTCAGCCCCCCCCC